CCGTGGAGTGGGTGCCCTGAGTCACACTGTCCTGACATCCTCAAGTCCAAGACCAACTCTCCTCCTGGAGCTCAGGGTGAGGCAACCAGGGCAGAGCTTCAGACTGGAGGCCAGGAGGGCACCTGCTGTGTGGAGCCCTGCAGTGCCTCCGCCCACTGGCCCTGGCCCTTGCCCGCCCCAGCTGTGTGTCCTGTGCACCTTCCACTGGGTGCCCAGCCTCCAGGAGCTCTCCATTGCTCCTGCAGACGCCCGCCTCTCCTTGCTCTGCAGGAAGTGCCTCTCCCCTCCAGCCCTTGGCACGCAACCTCTGCAAGTGGAACACGGGCTGCCTGGGGCAGGTTGGTGCACCCGGAACCATGCACACCCGCACACCCAGCCTCGCGCGCTCCGTGTGGGAGTGGGGGCTGCGCCCACCTCCAGGAGAGACCCTTCCTGGAGGAGCATAAGCCCGGCTCCTGCAATTGCCACCAAGGACCCCAAGCAGGAAGATTAACCTGATCAAAAGGTACTGCCAGCCACCACCCCCTCTAGCCCCCCTCTACTTGCATTCCGGACCCTCTGGGGCTATACTCAGGACCACAGTGCCGCCATCCCTCTGTCCTATCCACTGTCCCTCTCTTGGGCATTAATATTAAGTACGGTGACATGAAATGCCACTTCCACAAGAGGAAGTCACTCCAAACTCTGAGCTCCCTCGGTTCTGGCTGCTGGAGCACTCAGAGTCAAGTCACCTCCAAAGGACAGCAGAAGTGTCCTCCAGCTTCSTCTGATTTGGGCGACCCTGGGTTTCCTTAGCCCTGATTTCCTTTAATCTCGTTCCACCACATTTAGCGCAGTGAATCATCTGAGTTCTTTCTGGAATCGGAGGAAGAACATACGAGACCTTTCAGAGATGTGTCCCCTCCTCTCTATCCCCTCCCAGGGGAGGAAAGAAGCTGAGTGTGAGCCAAGTAGTGAAGCAGGAAATAGCTCTCGCGCTTCACACAGGGAACAGCCTGAGCAGGAGAGGGACAAGGAGGTGGAATGTCCAAGGACACAAAGTGCCACTCCTCCTGCCTGTGTGGCTGCACCTGTCTGGGAGTTCAGTTTGTTGAGGGCCGTGGAGCCCAGCGCTCACACTGCGCCCTGCTGGGGAGCTCCTGCGGCCCCTCCCTGAGGGCCTCCCAGGGCTGCCTGCAGCTCAGCGCTACATGTGGAGGTGGCCAGGCAGGCAGCAGGCTGGACTAGAGCAGCTCAGGACTGCCCAGGGCACCCCAGGAGCTGGAAACTCAGGCCCTCCCTGGAAGCCGGATCTTCCACCCTCCCATCCCCAAAGGCAAGGAAGGCAAAGAAGGGAGGGAATGGGAGGAAGGGTCACCTCCCAGGCCACAGTCGGAGTGTGACCCCAGCCGAGGAATCAGAGATGCTACACCAGAGGGAAGCCGCTGCACGGGGCCCTAAACTTGGAACTTGTTGACAGTAACCACCTGCCTGGCCCCTCTGCTTGGGCAGGGAGACGGTCACTAGCCTTCTGAAGCACCCTCCCTGGAGGCAGGACTTCTGGGTTGCTGTTGTGGTGACCCTGATTGTGCAGCCCAGAGAAAAAGGAGGGGTGGGATGGTGCTGGGACGGCAGGGGCCCAGGTCCACGCTGGCAGCCTCACCCCACTCTCCAGGTCATGGAGGGAGAGTCTCCCCTTGTCCCAGACCAGGGCTGGGGCAGGCCAGGCAGCTTGGGCCACCTCGTCTATTCCACACCCCACTCCAATCAGAACAGAGCACTTGGGTCCCCCACAAGTCGCATTGCGGAGGGTGGACACCCACACTCTGTGTCCTACAGTAAACAACTGATAGACCATGGGTCTGCCTCTGCCATCAAACTGTGAGCCCCCAGGGACAGTGATGCCACAATCCTCAAGTCCTCACCCAGCACACACAGGTACCCCAACTGCAGCTGACCATTACACCAAGTGTGCCCAGCTCCGCGTCCTACTCCCAGCCCCAGAGACCATGTGGCTTGTCCCTACCCCGCCGGCAGCTGAGCAGATGGGGGATGGCCCCTTATACAGGCTGGGACATCAGTCAGGGTCTGTCTCCCTCTCCCTCTGTCTCTTAGGGAGCGCCACTCGGGGACCCAGGGACTGCAGCCGAAGCCCTCATCCAGGACGGCCACCCGGGACCAGGCCAGGCTCACACTCAGGAGCCAGGAGGGCCAGCTGCAGGGAGCAACGGCAGAGACCAGAGACGGACAGATGCACCCTGAGAGGCTGAGAAAATGAAACTACAGTCCAGAGACAGGGAAGGGGGGGTTTCCAGGGCCCAGGACTGCCCTCTGCCCAAGGTCCCGTTCCCTGCTCTTAACTCCCTTTCACTTAACCTAATTGAAGGACACTTCCTTTCCCTGAGACACAATAATCCCAAAGCCRGGACATCACAGGGTGCCCCCCAACCGCAGACCACGTCCACCACTCACAGTTTATAAAGAGCCGGGTGGCCTTGGACGAGGCTCATCGGGGCCTGGCCAGCGTGGGAATGTAGGGAGAAGAACCCCAAATGGAGGGAGCCGGGAGCCCATTTGGACTTTGTTACTGAGCAGTGGGAAGGAGGTGTGGGAGGAAGGCGTGACCACAACTGTGCTGTAGGGAAGTGAACTCTGAAACAGGCAGGAGGCAGCACACTCCAAGCACACAGTAGGTGCTTAGCAAATGCAGAGGGTAAACACACAACCTCTCTGCACCAAGATGTCCTTGCCTGTAAAATGTGGACAGCGTTGTCAAAATGCCCACAAGTGACCGTGTGCGTTTGAGGCACTCCAAGCAGCTCCCGGCAGAGCTGCCACCTCCTCGCATTTTTTTTGTTTAACCTGCACAAAGGCGGAAGTGGYGTCCCAAGAACCCCTGGGCAGGGGCCTAGGGGACACCAAGGCAGCTTCTGTCGAGGTGGCAGGGTCAGGGACCTAGGGGACTCCACAACAGGCAAGTCTGCCAGGGGCTATGGGCTTTCCCACGGCCAAGGGAGGAGGTCACAGTGAGGGAGGACAGCAGGCCTGGGCAGCACCAGCAGCAGGGCCGCTGCAGATGGGCAGGACAGCCCAGGCAGCGGGTGCCTCTCTCCCCGGTGTAGGCTACAGAGCCACAGCCAGCACAGTAATGACACACACTCTGTCACAGGGCAAACAAGTTACTCAATAACTCAAAAGGCAGATACTGAAGTATCAGGTTTACAAACGGGAAATTGGGCACAGAGAGACACAGTGACTTGCCCAAGATCACACAGCTGCTAAGCAGGGCAGGCTCAGTCTCCGAACCCAGGCTTAGTCTCAGAACCCTAGAGTGCGGCCGAGGTGCTGGGAAGGGATCAGTGCCCCTGCAGGCAGATCCCCTTGCTGGGATTTCAGGTGCAAACTTCTAGCTACCCTCTTCCTGGCAGAGGATGCCAACTGCCTGGGCTGGCAGGTATGTTTTTTGGAGGGTCCTCTAAGGCCCCTCCACCTGGCTTTTCTGCCTTTGGGGTGCCTGTCTCCATCCTCCTTGTCTGTCCAGGAGCCTGCACACCAACATCACTTCCGAGCCAGGCACTGCAGACACCTATGCATCCTGTGCTCGTAGGCACCTACCGTATGCAGGCAGGTACCTGAGAGACTTCCTCTGACAGCAACCCCTCTCCTCAGCAGGGTCTCCCGGGCCTTGAAACCCATGCTCCAAGCACCTAAATCGTTGGCTGCCCCCTCTAAAGTGACTTTAGACCCCCTGCCTCCTTTCCTGACCTCAAGCCTTGGCCTGAGCTATCTCCCCAGCAACAAGCCCCCTGAGCGTCCTCACAGGAAGCTCCATCAGGCTCCTGGTCCCCCCAACACAGTCCATGGTCCCTCCCTCCTCTATGCCCCAGACTCCCCACCAATGCAACCATCAGGCACGGCTGTGCTGTGCTCCTGGGGAGCAGCCAGACTGGGGTCCTGAGTACCTGGCAGTCCCTGGCCGGGTTAGACGGGGTGGCAGCGGGTGGGTGAATGAAGAGCTCCTTGTTTACATTTACAACTCAGGGGAGGAGGCCTCTGGCACACAGCGCCCACGTGGTGCTCCCCACACACCCCAACACAGCCCAGGTCGCCCATCCCACCAGCCTCTCTGGGGCATCTTACAGGCTGGGGGAGACCCCCTCACTCCCGGCTCCAGTGTCTTACCCAGGCCCACATCCCCAACTCAACCAGAACCGAGAAGCGGGATCTCAGGTTTGGGAAAGCACTGATTGTGTCACTCCCCCCAAGGTGTCCCTGTGTCCGACTTTCCTGGGTTGGGGCTCGGCCTGCGTGGCAGTGCCCAGTGGGCACCGGCAGGGCACAGGCTCCGCCTGAAAGGTCCACGCGGGCGGGCCCAGGAGGCCCAGCCAAGCATCCTCCGCCACTGCCCCTCCCTGGGGGGAGGGCAAAAAATCTGCTGCCTCACCAGCCACCAGCGTCAGCTTTGGGGGGAAGCCCCTGTGGAAAACCGCCCGCCCGGATCTCCCCTCCCCACGCTCGGCCACGCACTTCAGCCAAGTTTTGCAAAGGCCATCGGCCGGGACCCCAGGCGGCGGGGCGGGGACTCGCCGTGCTCCCAGACCCCGGGTCAGGAGACKGGGCTGGATGGCCGCGCCCACCAGGCTGCGCCCGGGCTCGGGAGCCGAGCACCTGCGGGCGTCCAGACGCCTGACCCTGCCCTCGGAGACAGGGCGGAAGCCCCCCCCCCAGTCAGATGCGCAGGACCCCAGTCCGTGGGTGGGGACACGGACGGCGCCGCGATGCCTTCGCCACGGGAACCCGCAGCCCAGGATGCGTCCCCAGCCCCGCAGTCGGCTGGGAAGTGGGGTGCACCGGTCCAGCTCCCCCACGCCCACCGGCCGTCCCGGCCCTTCCGCCAGCCCACGCCGACAATGCCCCGGCCGCCGCCCGGCCTCCAGCCAGGCCGSGGCTGCCGCCGCCCCCCGCGTCTCCGTCCTTTGTTGCCCGCGACCCCCGCCCGCAGCCCCTCRGGCGGCTCCTACCTTCGCCCTCCGCAGCAGCTCGTCGGCGGGCCCGGCGCCCCGGCCTCGTCCCCCGGCCCCGGGGCCCAGGAGCTAGGATGCTGCGGCCCCTCCCTGCGCGCGCTGCCCGCCGGGGACCGCCCGTCCCGGAGCTCGGGTCGGCGCTGCGCGCTCCGGGCTTGTCTCGCGCCCCGTCTGCGGGCCGGCGGCCGCGGGAAGGCGAAAGGCGCGCCCCGAGTAGCCCGGCCGCTGCCTGCGCGCCCCGCGGCCAAGCGGAGCCAAGCCGAGCGCCGGCAGAGCAAGCGGCCGGGCTCCAGGAGGGAACAAAAGGGGCCGGCGCTGGGGCGGGCGCGGGAGGGCGGGGCCTGGCGCCGCGGGGGTCAGGCGCGCGCGCGCGGCATCGCGGTTCTTGGGCCGCCGCGCGGCGCGGAAAGAAGGCGGGCGGGCAGAAAATGCGCCGGCTCCCGCCCCCCCTGCAGCTGTCATTTGCCTGACGTCGGGGGATCGCCCACACCCACCTAAGCTAGGGACATCTACAGGAGCTCAAACCGTGCTTGGGGAGAGAGCATCCTTCAGCTCTGTTCTACTTACAAGATGTCCCAGACCACAGGCAGAGTCAGAAGCTCCGGACGGGACGATGGGGGCGGGGGTACGTCCTGGAGTTTCTGGAAGGCTTCACAGAGGAGGTGACTTGGACTACACAGAAGGGGTGCAGAGGACATTGTGAAGCCGAGGTGAGACCATCAGGTCTCGTTTTGAAGCCAAAGCCAGTATGGAGCCGCGACATGGCCTCAGAGTGACTGGTCCCCAAGCGCCTTGGAAAAAGTGGTCGCCAACAGGCAGATGCACTCCGCACCCTGGGCACCAGGACTGATCTGTCTCCTGTGGAATCAGAGGAGTTGACACAGCTGCCTGAGTCCCTTCCTGGGTGGGGAGAGACCACGTGGCATCTCAGAGACCAGGAAGTAACCTAATCCCAGCTTCCTTGGGGACCCACTGTGAGTTCTCGACCTCGCTGGTCTCTGTGCCTCCGCCCCTGCCAGTTCTTCTACCTGTAGCGCCTTCCCTCCTCCCCCCCCCCCCCCCCCCCCCGTTGGACAAATCAACCCTCCCTTCAAAGTCAGACTGCCGTTGGCTGCTGTGCTTCCCTCAGTGTGGGGATGTTGAGTGGGACAGGTATGGGCTGTTCAATGAGCTGCCACTCACTGGGGAAGGCAAGGGCCATGCACTGACTTGATGTCCCCTAAAGCACCCAGTGCAGCGCTAAACAGAGGGGAGACATCCAGTAACTGTTGAAGGAAGGAAGGAAGGAAGGCACTAACTACCACCCCTCAGCTGGCTAGCATTCCACCATCTGAGAAATCAGTTCACCTCTTACCCATTTTCCCCATCTGTACATTGGGGAGGGTGTTTCAATTCAACTCAGCAAAAGTGTGATGGTATAATGATGGTGGCTGGGTACCGGGCCACCCCTGAGGAGGCTCCCAGCTGGTGGGAGGAACTAGACCCTGAGACTGAGACAGGAGATGTGGAGTGAGCCCAGGGGAGATGGAGGGGATTTCCACCTGCAAGAAACAGAGGGGGTGTAAGGTAGAAAGTGTAGCATTTAGGAAACAGAGAGTTATGGTCCAGCAGTGAGAATCCACTCCTTCACCTGCTGGCCTCTGGGCCAGTCACTGAGCCTCTGTGTGCCTCAGTTTCCTTATCGATGAAATGGGGCTAATGACAGACTGACAGCCTCCTGTGACAGTTGTTGAGGCTGAGTATACTGATCAAAGTGAGGTGCTTAGAACAAATTGTGCCTGGTATGTAGTTAGCCACCAAGAAATGTGAACTTGGGCCAGACTCAGGGGTGCATGCTTGTGAACCCAACTATTCAGGAGACTGGGGCAGGAGAATTACAAGTTGGAGGCCAGCCTGGGCAACTTAGCAAGACCCTGTCTCAAAATAAAAAACCGAAAGGGCTGGGGATGTAGCTCACTGGTAAAGTGCCCCTGAGTTGAATCCCTAGAACCAAAATAATAATAACAATAATTAAAATTTTTTAAAATAAAAAGAACTAGGGATATAGTTCAGTGGTAGAGTGCCCCTGGGTTCAATCTTCAGTGTGGAAAAGAAAAGAAGGAGGGAGTGAGGAGAAGGAACAAAGGAAAGAAGGGAATGTGAACTTTGATAATAATTTTTAATAATTAAAAATGAAAAAATTGAAGGCTGGGGATGTAGCTCGGTGGTAGAACACCACTCAGCATGCATGAGCCCCTGACTTCAGTCCCTGCCAACATTTGGGGGCGGGAATCCCACATTGAACTCAGGGCACTCGACCACTGAGCCACATCCTCAGCCCTGTTTTGAATTTTACTAGAGGCGGGATCTCACTGAATTGCTTAATGCCTCACTGAATTGTTGAGGCTGGCTTTGAACTCATGCTCCTCCTGTCTCAGCCTCCCAAGCTGCTGGGATTCCAGGCATATGCCACCACACCCTGTACTGCCAACATTTAATAAATAAATAAATAAATAAATAAATAAATAAATAAAGGAAAATTAGAAATAAAAGGTTGTAAGTCATCTGCCTAGAGGTGGTGAAAATATTTATGAGAGAATTTAATGAGTCAAGGATGCATAATTTAATCATAAGTGTAACCACCCTCCAATTTTTTACATGATTATAAAACTAACAAGTTTATAGAGGAAATAATGGATAAATAAAAATAGTTAATTCAAATAAAGTCAAGCAAAGAGTAAGAAAGCAATGTTACTTAAGTAAAAAAGCAGGGAGAATAAAATGGTTGAAATCATCTCAAACCTATCCTAACTATATTAACCCTAAAGGTACCAAATATTCATTTATTTTTAATTTTTTATAACTTTATATTTTATTATTTCTTTATGCGGTGCTGAGGATGGGACCCAGTGCCTCACACATGCTAGGCAAGCGCTTTACCACTGGGCCCCAGCCCCAGCCCATGTTCACTTATTTTGAAGAGTAAAGTGACCGATCTTGTTGGATTAGCGGGGAATTCTATTGAGCATTCTTTTATTGTTAAGCATATAAGTTTCTAATTTTTCCTTCCTGAAACCATGTTGTATGAAAATCTAAGCAGATTGCAGCTTCTATTTTCATATCTGTAAAGCATATTTTAAAATGTCTAAGCCTGGGGGAAATGGAAAATGTAGACCGAGACAGGCGCAGTGGMGCACGCCTGTCATCCCAGCAGCTCTAGAGGCTGAGGCAGGAGGATGGCAAGTTCAAAGCCAGCCTCAGCAACTTAGCAAAACCCTGGCTCAAAATAAAATATACAAACGGGCTGGCGATGTGGCTCAGGGGTAAAGCGCTGGCCCTGGGGTCAATCGCCGGCACAGAAAAGAGACTGGATTTTCCTCTGCCGTTTCTGACTGGGACTTCCCTCTCTTTGGCGAGGAGGAAGCACAAAAATTAGAGGCTAGGGATTTTTCTGGTTACTTCCTCCCCAGATGCTGCAGAAGCCTCACCTCCGTGGGCCTTGTCGAGTGTTGGGATGGGAGCCCAGAAGGGCTGCTGGGGTGGCAGCAATCTGTCCTGGCAGCTGAAGCCGCTGGGGCTCTAGAGGAGGCCATCTAGAATGTTCTTCTGGCCCCTCACGTGGGGCAGCCTGAGTGGCAGACCCTAAAAGACCAGCTGATGGCAGGAGGGGTGGCTGGACACAAGCTAGAGGCTGTGGGACCTGGACKCGGAGGGAGGGGGCCTCACCCATTCAGGTCTGAAGGTCAGGGCCCTGCACCCTGTGGGGGTCTGAAACCCCGGAAAGACGCAGAAGGTCATGGCCATGTGCACAAGGGGACAGTCACACCTAGCTTTACAGATGGGCTCAGGGGTGTCCTAGGGCCCTGGAAGCCCCCCGGGTCTGCACACCCAAGTTCTATAGAGGAGGGGATTCAGAAAGGACACGGGGTGCAGGGCAGACGGGACAATGGGATTCGTCCACACAGGGGAGCTTGCTCTGGACGGACAGCCTCTTTGGCTCTGGCCACCTCTGGAAGCAGGGAGAGTCCACAGTTCCCAGACATCAGCCCTTCAGGATGAACTAAATGCTTCCTGGGCTCCAAGGACACCCTCATGTAGTCCTGGCCTGTCCTTGCACAGGTGGGGAAACTCAGGTCTGAAGAGGGGCAGGTACTGGCCCTGGTCACACAGGTCCTGCTGTGAGGCAGCTGAGCCCACCTGTCCCTGCCCAGCAGGTTCAGCAGGCTCCCTCCCTCACCCGGAGCCCCCAGAGTGATTCAGAGCAACACCGTGCCCTCAGGCAGCACACTGGTTTCCTGCGGTCCCAGTGGCCCACAAGCCTTATCTAGTGGATGGTAGGTGGAGCCTCAAGAGGGCCACTTATCAAAGAGCAGGATCTTTGGCCCTGGCTGATGGCTGCTGGTTCTTGGTGAGAGAGGATTCGTTGGCTTCTCTCCTGCTGGAGTTTGGATCTGGAGTTTTCTACTTCTTCCAGTAGCCAGAGGGAGTAGGGAATGCTGTGAGATGTGGTGGACGGAGTTAGGTCTGGCTCCTATGGGGGCCCCAGAGATGGGGCAGGAGGACGGGGGGGGGGGGGGGGGGGGGGGGGGGGGGGGGGGGGCCGGATGGGGTTCTCCCCGCAGACCTCTCCCCAGGCTTTTGTCTCAGCTGAAGTGCTGACCTGCCCTTGCCTTGCCCACTGGGCTTTGGCCTGCACGAGAGGGGGATTTCATGGGCGGCTGGCTTCGTTGTGACCAGGGGCCAGGGCAGAACTCCCAGGGCACCGCAGGGGGTGGGGGCAGCTGTGGGAGAGGCCTGGGTCGCTCCCAGGTGGCTGATGCACTTTTTGATATTCACTTGGATCCAGGAGGACCTGGGCACATGGAACCCGGGCCCCGCGCATGCTAAGCATGTGCTCCCCTTTGAGCACACCGCAGCCCCTCGGTGGAACACTTTGCAGATTCTGAGTYGCTGTTTACAGGGAATCAGTGACAGCACAGGGAACACCTATGTGTTTAGATCCCAGAGAACCTGTGACCTCAAACTGCAGGTCTCGGACCGCAGAGGAGAAACCAGAACCGCGGCAGCTCTTGGGGGGACAACCGGAGGGACTATTTTCTCCCCCTCTTTGCTTTTCCTGTAACAGGAATGTGTCACTTGAAGGACAAATCAAAGGAACTTGAGTCTAAACCGGGTGCTGTGGAAATGGGGGTTTGGATGTGGCCCTGGCCTCTCCACCCGCCCKAGCAGAGGTGGCCCTGGGTGGCACCGGCTGGGCGTTACGT